CCTGAAAAGCAAAGAAAATTAGGGTTTTTTGTGAAATCCCAAACAAAGAAAATGAAATCGGACCCTAAAGCACGAGACGTTGGGGCCGTTTTTACCTGGGGTTGGAGGAAATCAAGTCTGATCAAAGGAAGAGATCAAAATCAAAGAGAATTCAAAACCCTAGATTTCAAAACCCTAGATCCGTTCGAACAGAAAATAGCCCAAAGATGACGAGGTGGAAAGGGGAAAAGCCAGAAAAATCCTTTTATAGGATTTTGGAGAAGGTTTCGAACTCAAAGAGGCGGGGAAGAATGACCCGAAACAGCCCAAACCAGTCTTATAAATCTGACTGGCCGAGGCGCTGCGCGGCACTCGACACTGTCGCGCTCAAGCGCGACAGTCTATGTTGTCGCGCTCAAGCACGACAGTATAAGCTGCCGCGGCAGCTAACACACCATGATTCATTCTGGCTTGCAGAAACACTGTGCATGCATGATAATTCTTCGACGTTTGAACATATACATCTCCTACTGTATTTGGAACACATACCCGAACACTCCGATGAGTATATGAGTATAAACTGCATCTCCCTGAACCTCGCGGCAGCCCATGGCGTCGCGGCTAAGGCGCGACAGCACTTAGTGTCGCGGCTAAGGCGCGACAGCACTTAGTGCCGCGGGTAAGGCGCGACAGCACATAGTGCTGCGGCTAAGGCGCGACAGCACATAGTGCCGCGGCTTAGGCGCTGCAACCTAGGGTGCCGCGGCTATATTAAAGGGGTGCTGTGGCGGTTACAAGGCAGTTATATGATGATTTTTTAAGGCCTACGTGGCAGCATATCAGAAATAGAACGTGTGCTGACGTGGACAAGCAGTTAAACCACGAAAAAAGTGGTTAAAGGTCATGGGAGAACGGTTTTAAGCACGATGGAACGTGCTGATAACCGTCTCTTTGGCCGCGGCAGCCTATACTGCCGCGCCAATAGCCGCGGCAGTGTAGACTGCAGCGGCCAAAGAGAAAGCATTTGGTCAGTTATCTCGCCCCTGTTTCAACTGTGGTGCACTGAGACCCTTATAAATACCTCCCTACACACGAAATAAAGGACATAGAGCATTTTGGAGCAGAAGAGACTTGAACTTTTGTTGATTTTGAGGAAGAGAGAGAATTTTCACCCTTTGACAAGCATCATTCGGTGATTCCTAGAGATCTAAGCTCAGACTTGATCTTTGGAAGAACGGACATCTTACATCGATAAGATATTCATTTTTAAATCTTTACTTCGATAAACGAAGGAGAGATCTCTAAGCACCCTCACGATCTTTGAATCGGTGGTCAACGAGCCAAAGCACTCACGGCATAGGCAAAGTCCCACAAAGCAGGAGTTGATAAACAATTTCTGCGTTATTTTCTCGAGAGTTGTAATTTTTTGTTTAGTTTCATTGTAATTTCGTGTAAACAAATCAAAGTTTAATGGAATCGACAATGGAGTCAACTTTCGCTGAAAACAATATGGAAGCATGAAACTCCAGGTTCCCACAAGATTATCGTGGCCACCGAGCTTCTGTGTGTAGTTTTTGCAGAAAACCCCCAACCTTTTATATTTGCAAGCAAGCCCCTATGACCTATCTATTCCTATAAATAAATATATTTCTAACCATGTGCATAATTTTATCTATTAATTCAAACCTATTTTTATGTGATTAATTCTTAATCATGCTAATAAAAATATATTGTTATAAATAATTGACAAGTATCACTAACAAAATAATTATTAATCTATTTATAACAATAATACGACATACTTGTTGAAGAAGAGACTAACAAAAGAGGTTCTGAAATAAGGGGACAAATTGTTATAAATAATTGACAAGTATCACTAAAGAATAACCATGAAGATAAAAGGAACATACATGTTGAAGGAGATGAAGTTACTATGAAAATTGTGTAATTTTTTTGTTTATATATACACATGAGTTGTTGCATGTGATATGATAACAATTACAATTAGAGTTCTCTTTGTATAAAATTGTAAATTGTACAATTTTTGAATTAGAATTGTTATAAATAGAATATATGGTGTTATCTATCATTAAATACAATTGAAAATTAGAATTTGATTAGGATTAAGATAGTTCAAACTTTAAAGTTCACAAGTAATTAGGATTAGAATAAATACAAACTCCCATAAACTAAAAAGGATATGAGACTTATCCAAGACTGTAGCTTTCATATGTGGGTTGATATTTAATTTATAATATTATATAACCTCATCCATGTGTATATGGAAGCATGAAACTCCAGGCTCCAGCCAACGAGATTACTGGGACCACCGAGCTCCTGTGTGCAGTTTTCGCAAAAAACCCACAACCTTTTATATTTGCAAGAAAGCCCTTATGACCTATCTATTCCTATAAATAAATATATTTCTAACCATGTGCCTAATTTTATCTATTAAGTCCAATCTATTTTTATGAGATTAATTCCTAATCTTGCTAATAAAAGGTAAAAGAAATTAAGCAAATACAAGCTAGTAAATAACTAATATCACAATTGAATCAAATACACAATATTACAAAAGAAAAATAATGAAGACAATAATACGGCATACCTGTTGAAGAAGACACTAACAAAAGAGGTTCCGAAATAAGGGGACAAATTGTTATAAATAATTGACAAATATCACTAAAGAATAATCATAATCATGAAGATAAAATGAACATACATGTTGAAGGAGATGAAGTTACTATAAAAATTATGTAATTTCTTTGTTTATATATAGGCATGATGTGTTGTATGTGATAAGATAACAATTACAATTAGAGTTCTCTTTGTATAAAGATTGACTTATCCAAGACTGTAGATTAAATACAAACTGAAAGCATCCCATAAACTAAAAAGGATATGAGACTTATCCAAGACTGTAGCTTTCGTTTGTGGTTCTTCAATATTACACTATAATCCCATCATAGTTCCCAATTAAAAGTAATAGAAAGTATCTACAATTATTTCATCTTCCATCTACACTGTCTAATACTATCTTATCTATTTACATAGCTACTTGCTTGCGTCTTTTTTCTTTTCTTTTTTCGTTCTTCTTTTTCTTTATTTTTTAGTAGCCACATTTTGAATCACTTATCTTTAGAAATATATTTTAAAAATTACTTGCAACAGACCCATCAAGATAGTGCATAAATATATCTTTTGGGTTTTATTTTCTTCTTCTTTTTCTTTTTTTTAAGCGGCCACGTTTTGAATCACTTAGCTTTAGAAATATATTTTAAAAATTAGAATTTAATTAGTATTAGGATAGTTTAAACTTTATAGGGGTATTTTTGTATACTATAAGATTTTCCCGAACTCGTACTTTTAAAGGGATTATATATGATATAATATGATACACATGTGAAATGATAATTAAGTTACCAACGGTACTCCAAATTTCTTTTCTGGAGTACCGAAGCAAAATCCGCCAACTTATAAAGGATACACATGTGAAATGATAATTAAGTTACCAAATGAATTCTATTCTATATAACTAACTATGAGGAATTCCGAATTCCGTTGGCTGCCAAGTAAGGCTATTTTCTCCGCGTTTTAACAGGTAAAATGAAAATTTACACACCCACCCTTGGACTTTCTGAAGATTACGATTTGGGTTTTTCCCCCTTTCCTGGATTGGCGCATATGTGAGTTTTCTCCTCTAATCCCAAAAACTCCTTTTCCTTCTTCCAATCTGATCATTAGTTCGTCCTTTGCAAAATTTTCCTCTTTTTTCAATTAGTGAGTTCACTTTGCTATTGATAGTGTTACGTCACTGAGAAGAATATCTTATATCGCTTCAAAGACAACTAAGAAATTTAGATTATAGATATATGTTTATATTTTTCTCTTTTATGTTGTTTTATGTTCTTAATCACTTTAATATTTTTGGGTTAATTGCAAGTACACCCCCTTAGCATTGCCTAGCTATGAATAGACCTTTATACTTCAATTTATAGTTATTAATTTATTTGGAAGTAATCAATTCGTGGTTTGTGGCGATGGTAATAGCTCTGGCAGCTTAGAGCATCTCCAACCATAAAACTCAAAATGGTGTAGTTTTTACACCAAGTTACTATTCCATCTCCAACCCATTACACCAAATGTTACACCAAAAAGAATATTCCTTTTATTATTCTTATCTTTTAACATTTTTTGAAATTTAAAATATTTAACAAATTATATAATTATATAATTATATAATACATATAATTAATTATAATAATATATTTTATGAATAAAATAAAAATATAAAAATTAAATGCTAAATCAAAATAATTAAAAAAATAAAAGCTACCATGAAATATTTTGATCATGAATAAAAAGAGAAACATTAAAAACCAACAAAATAATAAACTCCATGCCTAAAAAAAAAAAAATCACTGCGCCAAAGCTACAGTGCTGCGCCAAATCTGGCGCAGCACTGTAGCTCTCCCCCAAAATGGCGCTGGGGAAAGCGTTCGGTTGGAGGAGGAACAGGAACATTTTTTGCGTCAATTTGAGGGGAAAGCGTTCGGTTGGAGAAGCTCTTAGCTAGCATATAGCAAAATGCACTAACCGCAACAAAAAGTATTTGATTAATTATTCACTCAACATTTGAAAATTTTGGAGTATCAATGAAGGATCTGTTATTCTGCGTTGCATGATTTATCAAGCAACTCTAAAGGGAAAAATCAATATGCAAGCACCTAGTACTTTTGCATACGTTACTGTTTATTTAACTTTTGAAATGAGTTGTTTAAAATAATTATAAAAATGTTGTTTAGAGAAGTATATTCTTCTTTTTGTACAATTGCAACTGGTTGCAAAATGGAGTTGTTTAAAACGCAGCCGATAGAATTCCGCAACTAACTTATAGGCAACTGTGAACAAACGCTTTCGAAAAAAAAAACTGTTAACAAACTAAATCTTATATCGTATATATTCCCGAGAAATAATTATAAATAATCTTCATCACGAACTAAACAGTCATATATCCTCTACTAGCCTTCTCTTTGTGGAGTCTGTGCTACTCATCAAGTTCTCATTTCTCTCTGATATAAATTATTATCTCCTCTGTTCTTTGATTTCTTCTTCTTACTTACTTTGGTCGTTGTAGTTTTGTGTGATAAGAAATGGCACCGCCAGTAGTAACGTCGGGCATCGAGAAGGAGGAGTTCGAGGGGAAGATCACCTTCTATGTGGTGGTTTGCGCAATTATGGCAGCCACTGGTGGTCTTATGTTTGGTTATGATGTTGGGATCTCAGGTTTGTTTCTATGTTTTTTTTTCCGAATAAAAAAACTTTTTGAGTTTATTATGATTTTTCCGGTTTGATCTGTGGTTGATTACATCTTCATACAAGATTAGTGTAAGATTTTATAATATAAGATTGGTATAATATGTTTACTTCTTCCAAAAGGGTGCTTTTGAAATAGTGATAAATAAGATCTATTTTTTTATTTGAAAAACAGTAATGAGTAAGATCTAATTATTATTAAATATGTATTATTTGTAGTTATATGTTTAAGTGTAAAATTTAGATCTATTTCTTTTAATCGTGGGACTTTTTTTTAAGTGGAGTGATACATATATATATGCAACTTAAGTAATTAATGAATGTTTAATTTTAATTTGGAATTATATGTTAGACTCTTAGTCACGTAGTTCTGGTGTTCATTTCTATTTCATGTTAAGAGATTACATGCTTTATAAATTTTAATACGTAACTTTTATTTTCTTCTTTTTTTCTAAGTAGACCAGTGATTTTATTTATTAGTTGAATATATTAACAAAAAACTAAATTGCACACTATTTTGTCCCCATATTTTCCCTTTTTCTCTTTTGCTTTTGATTTTTCGGCATATAAGTTCATCAAAAGCTCATGCATCACAAGCTAATGCTCTGTTTGATCTCTCTTTATCTTACATGCAACCTTCACATGGATGCCGACTAATAAATTTTGATATAAAAGTAAAATTTTGATATAAAAGTAAAATATAACTTTGATCTTTAGTTTGGGTTTCTTAAAAAAGGTTATCTTTCTTTCAAAAAACAAGTTATTTTTTCCCCTTCGGAGTTAAACTTTCTGTTAGTTTTTGAGTGGAGAGTAAAGATATTTTGGTTTCCTTCAGAGCCTGCATGGAGAAATTTCTCAGCCTGCATAAAAGTCTTATTATTACTTTGATGCTTTTTTTTTTAATTTAGATCACTATTGGGACAAATGCATAAACTTTTGTTTGGGAATATTTTCGCATTTTGTTGTTTTAACATAATAAGGTGCTGTTATTTATTGATATTCAATTTTTTATTTGTTCATGTAATTCTATATCATATAGGAACTATATTTCTTATATAAAAACATCGGCAATCTCATATACCTTTAAATTTTGCTTATGATAGGAGGAGTAACATCAATGGACGATTTCTTAGAGAAATTCTTCCATGGAGTCTATATAAAGAAGCACCGAGCTTACGAGGACAATTATTGCAAGTATGACAACCATGGACTCCAACTGTTTACTTCGTCGCTGTATCTTGCAGCTATCTTTTCCAGTTTCATTGCCTCGAAGACCTGCACAAAATTTGGTCGGAGACTAACAATGCAAGCTGCCTCTATGTTGTTCTTAGCTGGAACAATCCTTAATGCTTCAGCACAGAATCTTGCAATGCTCATCGCTGGGAGACTTCTTCTTGGCCTTGGTGTTGGTTGTGCAAATCAGGTAAAATTTCCAATTATTTGTAAATTAGTACCAAAGTTCTTTTATCATAGATTTGGAATCTATGTTGGTATGTGTATGTTCTAATTAGTTCTAAACTATGAAAGTGTGCATTATACATTTGTAGTGCATTGTACTCGTAATGTATTTGAGACACCATTATCAGATTTGCAATGTAATTTCAGTCCTTTTATTTCATTACCAAGGTCTCAAGATATAGTAGTAATTAAATTACCTACAGAATTATCCCATCCTTTTTGTTCATGTTTCTCTATTCATTTTGACACCCTGTGTGATATTTGGATAGCTAGCTCCATACAGTCTTGTGCTATGTTATGCTACAATATCTAATTTTCTTTCACAAAATTCTCCATTTTTCTTGTTTAAAAGACATTTTATATGATATGAGCTTGTGACTAAATTTTGGTTATATATTTTTTTCCTTGATCATGTGTCTTTTGTGCTCAATAAAGAGGTCTTTTCCTATTATTTTAGAATGTTGACCTTCTCAAATTTTTATCTCAACGAATACTACTTGTTAATGATATACAATTCACATCTCTTTAACAATTCCATTTTATTTCTTATGTTTTATATTTACTTCATTTATTTTCAGGCAATCCCCTTATTCTTATCAGAAATTGCGCCAGTAAAGCACCGAGGAGGACTCAACGTCCTATTCCAACTCGCTGTAACTATTGGCATCCTTGTCGCTAACCTCATTAACTACGGAGCAACAAGCATCCACCCATGGGGTTGGAGACTAGCCCTCGGCTTAGCTGGAGTGCCAGCGAGCTTATTATGCATCGGTTCCTTCATAATCACAGAAACTCCGACAAGCCTCATCGAAAGAAATAAACATGAACAAGGACTCGCCGCTCTCAAAAAAATTAGGGGAACTGATAATGTTCTTGCAGAGTATGATGAAATTGTTCACGCCTGTGAAGTTGCTAATGAAGTAAAGCATCCGTTCAAAAATCTCATGCACAGATCCAATCGTCCTCCGTTGGTTATTGGGATTTGGATGCAGATATTTCAGCAGTTTACAGGGATTAATGCCATAATGTTTTATGCGCCGGTTTTATTTCAGACTGTTGGATTCAAGAACAATGCATCCTTGTTGTCTGCAGTCATTACGGGTACTGTTAATGTGGGCTGCACCATAATTTCTGTCATGTATGTGGATAAAGCTGGAAGGAGGACATTACTTCTCTCTGCTTGTGTGCTTATGTTGATTGCTCAGGTTTGTCTACTGACTTGAATAAAGAAGGCTAAGCTTAGTTGTGAAACAATTATCATCTAAAAACATGCATATTCATAGGTAATCTAGTATCCTTAGCTTCTCTTCTTCTCTACTCTGTAGGTATCTCATACTTTTACAACGAAAACGACAAATTAACTCATGTTCTAAGTTCTTATTTATTTATCTTCATACCGTCTGCAGACGACAATTGGAGGCATTCTTCAAGCATACTTGAAATCCACCAACAACCTTGATCGTAATGTGGCCGTGGCAGTTGTTGCGTTTGTGTGCATTTATGTTGGAAGTTTTGCGTGGTCGTGGGGTCCTCTCGGTTGGTTGATTCCCAGCGAGACATTCCCTTTGGAGACGAGGACAGCAGGTTATGCCTGTGCAGTGAGCACGAACATGCTCTTCACTTTTCTCATCGCTCAAGCTTTTCTTTCCATGTTGTGTCATATGAGAGCATCCATATTCTTCTTCTTTTCCGGATGGATTCTTGTTATGTCGTTTTTCGTCATATTCCTCTTGCCCGAGACGAAGAATATTCCTATTGAAGAGATGGTTGATAGAGTTTGGAAGAACCATTGGCTTTGGAAGCGTTTTATGAATGACAACAAAAATGACGACAGGAAAGTGAGCAAGTTGGAGAGAGGGGCTTCTAGGTGATTTAACTCGCGATGAAGATCGCCTTTGAAACCTTTTTTTCCCTCCCCCCTTTTGAACATGATATTAGATTTGTTCATTGGTTATCAATTTCTCCGAGGGAGATGATAGAACCTTATTTGTCAAATTTGGGGGGCCTTATGGACCCTGTTTTAGACAAATGATCCTTCATTGTTAGTTCTTATGTGGTTTCTTAAGATAATGGTTTGAACTTTGAAGTAGTTTCCATTAGATTTTTTTTGTTGGTGATTAGTTTTTCCATCTTATACGCTTTCTTGTTTTTTAGATAGCCTACATAAATAGATGCAAGTCGATAAGTTCCCGTGAACTTTTTTTTTTGTGAGAACTGAGGTCAATTTCAAACCTATGTGCTTCGAGAAACCAAACCAAACAAACGCCGGGATAAAGTCCAACCAAATCAAAATAACGACAAAAAACACAAACAACCAATTTTAACGTGGTTCGGCAAGTTGCCTACGTCCACGGGGTAAGAAAGGGGATGAATTTTTCACTATAGAGAATGAGAGTACAAACTGAAATTACAAATCGCTTAAACCAATCAACTAATCTCACCAACACAGCTCTCAATCTCTCAAACAATAACCATAACCAATAGCTCAGAAAGATCTTTTCTGTTGTCCAATATCCAAAAAACAATTCCCAATCAAAGCCAAAGAAACCCTAAAACGTGTGTTTGTATTTATAGCAAACACCAATCTCAATCAAAACAGGAAACCAAGCCCAGGCCCAGACCCAATCCGCGGTCGACCACCGAACACATTGCGGTAGACCATGACAACAAAACCCAAAAATCAATTACAGTGTCTCGTGGTCGACCGTTGCGCCAGTCGACGCAGTCGACCCCCAAAAGTCCAGAGACTTTTCCTTGTGTTATGCACGTTCACTGTCGACCACCGCGCTACCCACGGTCCACCGCGCAACTTACAAATTGTTCTATCTCCAATTTTCTAAACCTCCTTGTTTCCTCTTCACTCCATTCATTCATGATAGGTATATCCTAAAAAGGATAAACTATCTAAAATTTTGATTACAAGGAATGCTATTTAGCAAGCAGCACATGATTGCTATCTAAATTCCTGTGTACATGGGCTTATATTGCCCACACTTGAGACATGGGCTTATATTGCCCACACTTGATACTTGGCACACATGATGAGTATAGTTAATCCAATTTTGCTTCATTATAGTCATTTCTAGGTTTAAATGGATTATATTTTGTAATATCATGACGTGTATTAAGTAGTTGCCCATATTATCAAACATAATTGAATTTATATTATGGTCTGTTTGGATAATGGAAGTATTGGAAGTAATAAGTAGTTTATAGAAGTAACTTTCAAAACTATGAAGTAGGAAGTAGTGGAAATATCATTTTTTTTTTGTTTCATATATTTTTAGAAGTAATAGAAGTAGAACTTATTCCTCTTCATTTACTTTTTTTGTTTGGATAACATTTGGAAATATTACTAGGAAGTAATTTTACCAATAAAAAGTTGTTAGAAGTAACTAATAAAGGAAATATTAATAAAAAAATATTTATTTCCTAATTAATATGCATTTCAACTACTTCCGAGCTACTTCTGAGTATTGAGGATTGGAAAGATATTTTGGAAGTAAGGATGACACGTAGACACCACATAAGCGTTTAGGGAAGTATTGGAAGTAAATTTTTTAGAAAACCAAACACACTTTTTGTAGGATATCTAGATGCTCTAAGCGGAATTGCAGGAAACGTTTTCCTAACATCTAAACGAAGGATCTATTGCATAAATCAATTGGATTAAGAAAAAGGAAAAACGATTACCTCTTGATGCGTGTTCAAAGCCTTCTCTAATGGAGAGATTAAGAGTCTCACTTGAAAACTCCTCTAGTTGATCCACCCAAGCAAAGATCTGGATCCTTAGAAATCAACTACTAGGTTGAAGATGAAAGTTTTTTTTTTTTGGGAGAGAAAGTAGTAACACTTTTACGTATATAGAGAAAGTGGAATTGGATTGGATTTTCTAAAAGAAAAACCACTCTTATTTATAATCCACAAATTAAAGTCATATTTAATTCTATAATTAAATATAATCCACTAATTAAAGTCATATTTAATTCTATAATTAAATATTATCTTTTATAACATTTATAAATAAATTTATCCTTTATTTAACAATAACTCCTTATTATTAATAAACTCTATTTTGAAGTTATATCTTATATAACTTTATATTATATACTTTATATAATAATTCTCCCAATATATCCAGTCCATAAACTCTTAGGGTGTGACCTCGTAGGACCCAATTATAATAGCAATGAACTTTATAACATAAAGTCCATAAATCATAGTTGGCTTCTAGCAAAGCACTATGACTACCTAAAATAACCGGATTGTAAATCTCCATTAAATGTCCCATACCATAATTAGTAATTGCACATTCGATTAAAGGACACAATTCCTTCAATCTCCCACTTGTCCTTGAAACAAGTGTGCAATGTTAAAATTCCTTTGTCACTTAATGTCTTATTTGACTATATGATGAAACTCATCTTTATCGCCAAATATGTTTCTTGAACTCTTGAGATCGAACTGTCAGTACAAATGATTACTAATAATCCATCTGAGCATGGCCATGCGTTTTTCACAGTTCTCACTCTTCAAGTGGCCGAGACACCGTTCCTTTCCAAATGTATCATGGTATACATGGAATAGGAGGACATATTCAATCTTGTAAGACTATATCTCCCACTCAACTTTTGGCAATCCCAATCACTACTTTTATAACTGCCTGTTACGGTCAGCGTTTAGCAGCGTCAAAGACATACCAGCAGTCAAATGATGACTATATCATACTCATGTCTAAGGAACTCACTAATCATGAATAATCCTAGAACTCTGCAGAAAGAACCCGAAGAGTTCTATGATAGGTCTGTCTGATATGTATCACCATACATACCTATGTAATCGATTAGACATCTCCATGTCCCTATAACACATGAAACCCGGTGTTATCAATCAATCTCACAATATGGTCTTGAATTAAGTCATTTGTATCCTAGTTAATGACTCAGACCATGAACAACTAATAATTTTATAATATCAGTTCACTTAATGGGGTTTCATTTACCAAAACAGTTTTGATGAGCCCATTTGATAATTATTAAATTATTCGGATACTTTATCTAATCCCAAGCAGTGATTAAATAATAATATGATACTCATATATATAAATCAAGCATAAATGTCTGTAATAACGAAAATATTTCAAAATATTTCTCCAATGTGTCTGAGCCCTTTGGCCCGAGTGTGACTATCATGCTTGGGCCTAGGCAAGGGCTTGGTCAAAGGATCTGCAATGTTGTCGTCAGTGTGCACTTTGCACATCCTCACGTCTCCTCTATCAACATAGTGTCTGATCAAGTGGTACTTTCGTTGGACGTGTCTAGATCTGGAGCTAGAGCTAGGTTCCTTGGCTTGAGCAATGGCGCCATTGTTGTCACAATAGACGTCAATTGCTCTAGAAGTGCTAGGAACAACACCGAGCTCAGCTATTACCTGTCTAATCCATACCGCCTCCTTAGCTGCTTCACTAGCAGCAATGTACTCTGCTTCCGTTGTAGAATCTGCTATTGTCCCTTGCTTTGAGCTCTTCCAACTGACGGCTCCTCCATTCAGAATGAAGACATATCCAGACTGAGATTCAAAATCATCTTTATCTGTCTGGAAACTCGCATCAGTGTAGCCCTTGACGATCAGCTCGTCATCACCTCCATACACTAAGGCATTATCCTTAGTTCTTCTCAAGTACTTTAGAATGTTCTTGGTTGCACACCAATGTGCCTCTCCAGGGTTTGATTGGTATCTGCTGCACATACTCAAAGCGTGCGCAACATCTGGGCGAGTACAAGTCATAGCATACATGATGGATCCTATGGCTGAGGCATAGGGAATCCTACTCATTTTCTCAATTTCACCTGGTGTTTTAGGACACTGGCTTTTACTGAGACGTAAGCCATGTTGCATAGGAAGGAATCCTTTCTTAGAATTCACCATATTAAATCTAGCAAGGACCTTATCTATATAAGTTCCTTGACTTAGACCAATAAGCCTCTTAGACCTATCTCTATAGATCTTAATGCCTAATATGTACTCTGCCTCTCCTAGATCCTTCATTGAGAAATACTTCTTAAGCCATTCCTTGACTGTCTCCAGCATAGGAATATCATTTCCAATGAGTAATATGTCATCCACATATAGAACCAGGAAGGCCACTTTGCTCCCACTAAACTTCTTGTAAACACATGGCTCTTCTTCGCATCTGATGAAATCAAACTTTTTGACCACTTCATCAAAACGAAGATTCCAACTCCTGGATGCTTGCTTAAGTCCATAGATAGACTTCTTAAGCTTGCATACTTTCCTAGGATTCTCTGGATCCTCAAAACCTTCTGGTTGCATCATGTATACATTTTCTTCTAAATATCCATTTAGAAAAGCGGTCTTGACATCCATTTGCCATATCTCATAATCATAATAAGCGGCAATTGCTAGGATTATCCTAATGGACCTGATCATAACAACCGGTGAGAACGTTTCATCATAGTCAATACCATGAACTTGTCTAAATCCTTTGGCAACTAATCTTGCCTTGTAGACAGAAACATTTCCATCCTTGTCTGTCTTGATCTTGAAGACCCATTTGCATCCAATGGGTTTTACCCCATCAGGCAAATCTATCAAGTCCCATACTTGATTCTCAGACATGGAGTCCATTTCGGATTTCATGGCTTCAAGCCATTTTTCGGAGTCGGGGTTCGCCATTGCTTGTTTATAGGTAGCAGGCTCATCATTCTCTAAAAGTAGAACGTCAATGCTAGCATTCAAGACGAAATCCTCATATCGTCTAGGTTGCCGCCTTGGCCTGTTTGATCTCCAAAGTGGTCCAACAGCTGGAGAGACTTTAGCAGGAGGATTGACCACATCAGTATGTGGGACCTCGGGTGCTTCATCTACCTGAGGAATTGCATCTTGAATATGGGTGGTTTCCCTTTGAGAAGGTACACCTCCAAAATCAAGTTCCTCTGTGACATCTTCTATGTCCTCATGCTGTTGGGTTTGTTGCTCAGGTTGAATCTCATCAAGCTGAACATTTATCCCACTTGACTTCTTGGAAAAGAAATCCTTTTCCAAAAAGACACTATCCCGAGCAACAAACACTTTGTTC